GGGTGGTATATATGACCATACTCTCTCCAGTCTGGTCTCCACCTTTGTTAGCCTATTCTATGAGGGGTGGTCTTTCACATTTTTAGTGTAGATATTTATCACTAATCCTAATTTCTGTTTCAAGGAGTATTTCTCTGTATCTAGTTAGAGATTTGTTGTGTCAGTGGAAAATGAATGAGCCCAGAATATTCCTCTTCTCCTATCTTCAGCAACTTCTTGAACCTTTTTGCCTTCCTTCATTGTTCTTGGGATGCCTGAGTTTTCACAATTTGTTGTAGTAATCAGATGGTTGTGGTGCGCAGCAGGGGTTAAATGCTTTGTTATGTTACTGGGACTCCTGATTGTGGTTCTGCTGGGATCTCATTTAGCATGTGGGGTAGTGGTGTAGATCAAACTTGCAACCCCAGGCTTAGAAAGCAGGTGCTTTAATACTAAGTCACATCCCCTAATCCCTTTTATTTTAATTCTATTATTGCACTATAAAGAAATTCCACAATAGTGTTGAATAATAATAACATTAGCCAGCATTCTCTTTGTATAAATTTTCAGTGATATTAATTATATACTATGTCCTCTAATAGCAGTATGTGTGATCTATATTACTCTACTTACCCAAAAGGACAAAACCAGAAAAAAATTTCAACTCTAGAACAAATTCAACTAGATAAAAAGGGAGCTCAGATAGAGAAGGGAACACCAAATAAAGGGTGTTGGGAGGATCCTCCCAGGATGGGAGAAGCATGCTGAAAGTAGACTGTAGACCAAACATGATTGTCACCCATTGCCTCTTTTGCAAACCACAACACCCAGTAAGAGAGAGAGAGAACAAAAGGGAATGCCCTGCCACAGAGGCAGGGTGGGATGGGGGTGATGGGGGTATGGGAGGGATACTGGGATCCATGGTGATGGGAAATGGGCACTGGTGGAGGGATTGATGTCGGTGGGCCCCACGGGTGACTTATGTGAAGTGGGGAGGAGAAAGACGGCCACTTTCTCCCCACCCGCCTCTGCCACCCGGAACCCTGGGTAGGCTAGGACCGGTAAAGTCTGCAGTGAGCACCTGCTCGGCACGGGCCTAAGCCCCGCCAGCCCCACAAGGTGGCCGACAAGCCACACCTGAACTCCGCTTGATCTTCTCGGCACGGGAGTTAATTCCCGCCACCCGATTGCTCGGGGAGCCACGGACTCAAGCTGGGGCGAGAATTTGCTCTTTGCAGGAAAGGAGAGACCAGTCCCAAGCCTTACCCGAGGTTTCTGGGGTTCTTGTCTCGCTTGCAGAAAAGAATTTCAGGAGTAGACGAGCAGTGAAGTAACAGGTTTTATTTGGAGGCTTTTGGAGAGGGAGAGAAAGGGATAAGCAGATAAGCGGGGGAATGGAGAGTAAGAGAGAGAGAGTAACGCGTCCAGAGGGAACGCGGGCTTCTCCGAGGGTGGAGAGAACGCCAAGTGCGCTCTCGAGCTGGTTCTTATAGATCCTTCTGACTCGGAATGTTCTGGAATCTCCTTGGGGCTGTGTTGCTGGAGTCAACCAGATTGAAAGGGGGTTCGAGAATCATCTGACTTGGAATGTCCTGGAATCTCCTTGGGGCTGGGTCGCTGGAGTCAACCGGATTGAAAGGGGGGTTCTTGGAAAGGAGGAATTTCATGGGGAGGAGGCCCATATCTTCAGGGTCTGGGAATGGTCTTATCAAGTCCTTATTCTCTGTCTCCACAGGGTGGGTCAGTCCTAGAATTCTTCTTCTATGAGACTTTGTTTCATTGCAGAGAGCCTTTCCCTATCTACCTGCCTACATCAGGATGGGTATTTGATCATTGTATAATTGAAACCCAAGCACAAAAATTTGTAAGTCTACAACTGTACCTCAAGATGTCTCACTAATAAAAATTTTAAAAAATTTTAAAAAAGTAGATGACACTGAACTTGATCACTTGATCATTTGACATCCTGTTGCTCATCGATTTGCTCGAGCAGGCGCCAGCAGTGTCTCCATTCATCCCTGTCGTGCGCCAGTGTAGCCCAATGGCGTCTGCATGTTCTAGGAACACGAACAGCCTCAAACCGATTGTTCAGGGTCTTGACGAAGAAGTCTGACCATATCCTAGGAGGGCAGCCACGTGATCTTTTGATGTCCTGTGGAATCCAGTAGGTAACGGCTCTTGTCCAGTGGTTGTCTCCAAATCTCATTATGTGTCCAGCCCATATGATTTTCAATGCCTTGGCAAATGAGACAGCATCCCTGATTCTTGATCATCGATGGAGGTCGGAACTCTGGATTCTTTCTCTCATTTGACTGAAGTTTGATACTCCAAGCATAGGTCTTTCAATTCCTCTTTGGGAGACCCAAGTAGCGTTCTCATCCTGTTTTCGTAGGGCCCAGGTCTCTGAGGCATATGGTAATGCAGGAAGAACAGTGGAATCAAAGAGATGTGCCCAGAGCCAGAGTTTCTTCGTCCACTTAGCTGTTTCTTTGACCCTCTTGAAGGCATTCCAAGCCTCTCTCTTCCTCCTGCCCAACTCAGGTGCCAGGTCATTCGTCATGTTGACTTTTCGACCTAGGTACACATAAGTGTGCATTCAGAGATGTTCGTCCATTGAGAGTGAATGGAACGTCAGGAACGAGACTGTTTCTCATAAACATTGTCTCCATGAGATTTAGCTGTAGTCCCACCTTTCCACACCCATGGTCGAAGTTGACCAGCATTGGTGCTGCTTGGCTGATGTTTGGTGTTATCAGAACGATGTTATCAGCAAAGTGGAGGAGGTGTAGTTGCTGACCGTCTATCTTCACTCCCATTCCTTCCCATTCCAGTTCTCTCATGATGTTCTCAAGGGTTGCACTGAAGAGCTTCGGTGAAATGGTATCACCCTGCCGAACCCCTCTCGATGTCAGTAATCACCTTCCTGTAGAATAGTGAGATCCTGGTAGTGAATCTGAAGTACAGCTCACGTATGATCCTGATGTATTGAGTTTGAACGCCCTGTTTTGCTAGGACTTCAATGACTGCTTCAATCTCAATAGAATCAGAGGCCTTCTTTAAATCAATGAATATTAGACAGAGTGGCATCTTGAACTCCTGAGAAACCTCAATGAGCTTGGTTATCATGTGGATATGGTCGATTGTGCTCAATCCTTTTCAGAACCCGGCTTGCTCACATGGTTGTCTGTCATTAGTGTTTTGCCAATCCTGTTCAGGATGACTCGAGTGAACAGCTTGTAGACGACAGACAACAGGCAGATCGGGTGATAGTTGCCAATGTCATGGATGTCTACCTTCTTGTACAGTAGTATAGTCCTGCTGGTTTTCCATTGGGGCGGAACCTTGCATTCAGACAGGTAGCGTGTGAAGAACTGAGCCAGTGTATTGATGAGTACTTATGGCAGGTTCTTCAGGTGTTCGAACACCTGAAGTACCTGCTGAACACTAGATAAAACTAAATTAAAATATTTAACTCTAGACCAGTTCAACTTAGATTGACTGTATGAGAATTAGTGGGCAACAATTGTTCTCCTGGGCTGGAGCAATAGTACAGTGGGTGGGGCATTGCCTTTCACGCAGCCAACCTGTGTTCGATATCCAGCATCCCATATGGTCCCCTGAGCACCGCCAGGAGTTATTCCTGAGTGCAAAGCTAGGAAAAACCCCCATGCATTTCCGGGTATGACCCAAAAAGCCAAAAAAATTGTTTTCCTAAGCTCTTTGATAGTTAAACAAAAGAACTCTAATGAAAGAAACATTATGTGATATTTGCTTCTTAGTAATTTTCTACTTTAGCACTGTTAGCTCTCTCCTCCCATTGTTCATCAATTTTGCTCGAGCAGGCACGAGTAATATCTCCATTGTGAGACTTATTGTTACTGTTTTTGGCATATCGAATATGCCACGGGTATCTTGCCAGGCTCTGCTGTGTGGGTGGGATTCTCTCAGTAGCTTGCAGGGCTCTTTCAGTGGGACGGAGGAATCAAACCCGGGTCTGCCTTGTGCAAGGCAAATGCCCTACCTGCTGTGCTATTGCTCCAGCCCATCAAAATACATTAACTGAAAAAAAGGTATGATTATTACTATTTGTTCATTAAAAATGAAAAAATATGCGGTACATGTGTGTATTTATTTACTAGGTGTATGATAAACTATTTATGTTTATTTTTAAAACATACTGTAATTAAAAATTAAAGCACTTTTAATTTTTAAAACATTTGGCATTATTTATATTTTCTAGGTCTACATGATTTTTGTATTGTTTTGTTCTGAGACCACACCTGGAAGTTCTTAGGACTTACTCTTGGCTCTGTGTTCAGTTATTATTCCTGGTAGGGCTCAGGGGAAGGTATGGGTGAGTGCAAAAAATTAAACCCAGGTTAGTCAGGTGCAAGGCAAGCACTCTACTACCAACAATACTATTTCTCCAGCCTCTGGGTGTACATGACTTTAAAAAACAATTAAAGAGATGATCTATTTCCTGTGATTATAACTTTTTTCATATCCCTTTCAATGAAGACAGCATTTCACACATTATATGTCACCACAGCATAATAATGAGAAACGTAGTTGGTGTTCAAGGAATATTTATGGACCTAAATTGGACTAAAGTTGTTATTTATTTGAGTTTCTTCCATCCCAATGTATTGGCTAAGGGTCAGGAGAGATAAGGCACTTGCTATTGCAGCTGTAGCTGCGACCATGGCTACTACTTTAATATTATAAATATTTGTTCTACTATTTCTATATATATATAATTAACTTTGAACTCAAAAAAGTTACTAGATTAGTGGTGTGCATTAGATGATATTAGATAAACAAATTTTGATGTTTTTAAAGAACATAAGTTATTTGGAACTTAAATATGTTTTTATCAGATTTTTTTTTTAGTTTAAAGTGTAGGAATGGATAAATTCCTTAGATTTCTGGTATAAAAATAGATGATATTATGATATAAATTAATTTGTATTTAAGGGTAATTAAGATATTTTGATTTATTAAGGTATCTTTTAATTTTTTAGTATCTCAACAGAAGAAATTAATTCACCATTATCACCCCTCACATGGCAGGTAAGAAGAAATTAAATTGCTGTTTTATCTAAGATTTTGTTTTCATTTGTTTTGCTAAAAGAATTTTTTTGTCACAGTCCTTAGAAAGCCAGAAGGATCAAATTGATGAACAACGGTGGCCAGAATCTCACCCTATAATCTGGCAGAGTGAAGAAAGGAGGCGGAGCAAACAGATTAGAAAAGAGTATTTCAAGGTGCTTTATTAAATCTTAAATTTTACTTTGTGATTATTTGGATTTTGTCAGTTTTTATATTAATGTGGTAGACTATAACTTACTACCTACATATTGTAAATTTGTTATTTTCTTCATTTTCCACATTTAGATTATATATTATATATTATATAATTATCATTTATCCAATTATGTACATAAATATTGTTTATTTAAATGCTAGGAATGTGGCTAAGTGGCAGAGTGCATGTTTTGCATGTCTGAGGGACTGGGTTAGACCCTGACACTATTTCCCAGCCAAAAATAATAGTAACAGTGAATAAATTATTTAAATTATGATTTATGGGACTTAAAGATAAATATTTGCTACACATATATGCAGTTATTTGAGTTGTAATGTTTTAAAAGATTGACCCAAAAAGATTTTTATCAGATATATTTCAGTGAATAGTTGGCATTTATTTGCGACTAGTATCAGTGGTTTCTGTTTGAGTAAATGATTATTTATATGTTTTTAAGATGATTGAAAATTACTAACTCCATTTTCTTTTCTTCTTACTGTAGTAAATTTCAGTCTTTTATCTTAGTTTATTTAAAATCTCAGACTGTCTAAAGTATCCAAAATCATTATTTGGCTTAGTTTTAATGGAACTTTTATGTGTACACTGTTATAAATATTGTAATATGTTTCTAATGTATACTATATAATACAAATAATTGGCATTGGAATGATAATTAATACTCATCAAAATCTTTTATTGCATTTTCTGATTCAAATGTGCAGCACAAACATTCTCTATGAATAGCAGATTCTGTTATTTTTTTTCTTTTCTATTTCACAAAACTTAATTTTTTTAAATTAGTGAAACACCATGAGGTACAGTTGTAGACTTACAAACTTCTGTGCTTGGGTTTCAGTTCTACAATGATCGAGTACCCATCCCTCCACCAGTGCCCATTCTCTACCACCAATGAAACCAGTAGTTCTCCTACCCCTCTGTGGTAGGGCATTCACTTTTGCTTCCTCTTTCCTTTAGGGTGTTATGGTTTGCAATAGAGATATTGAGAGGCCATCGTGTTTGGTCTATAGTGTTTGCTTTCAGCACGCATCTCGCATCCCGAGCGAGTACTCCAAACACCCTTTTACTTGATGTTTCCTTCTCTATCTGAGCTGCCTTTTTACCCCAGCATGTGATGCCGGTTCAAGTACTTATCTCAACTATTCTTTGGTGTTCGTCTCCCCTTCTGTTACTTTATATTCCCCAGATGATTCAGTCTTTCTATGTCTGTCCCTCTCTTTCTGACTCATTTCACTTAGCATAATACTTTCCATATAGAACCATTTATTTATAAATTTCATGACTTCATCATTTCTAACAGCAGCATAGTATTCCATTGTGTAGATGTACCAAAGTTTCTTTAACCAGTCATCTGTTCTCAGGCACCCGGGTTTTTTTCCAGATTTTGGCTATTGTGAACAGTGCAGCAAAGAACATACAACTGCAGATGTAATTTCGACTGTACTTTTTTGTCTCTCCAGGATATATTGCCAGGAGTTGCCAGGAGTGGTATTGTTGGGTCAAGTGGGAGCTCAATTTCTAATTTTTTGAGAATCGTCCATACTGATTTCCAAAAGGGCTGAAACAGTCAGCATTCCCGCCAGCCAGTGAAGGAGAGTCCCTTTCTCCCCACATCCATGCCAACACCTGTTGCTTTTGTTCTTTTGGGTGTGGGCCAGTCTCTGTGGTGTGAGAAGATACCTCATTGTTGTTTTGATCTGCATCTCCCTGATGATTAGTGATGTAGAGCATTTTCTCATGTGCCTTTTAGCCATCCGGATTTCCTGGAGAAAGTTTCTTTTTTTTTTTTTTGGTTTTTTTTTTTTTGCTTTTTGACTCACGCCCTGCAATGCACAGGGGTTACTCTTGGCTCTGCACTCAGGAATTATCCCTAGCGGTGCTCAGGGGACCATATGGGATGCTGGGAATTGAACCCTGGTGGGCTGCATGCAAGGCAAACGCCCTACCCGTTGTGCTGTCACTCTTTGAGAAAGTTTCTGTTTCTTTATCATTCCATTTTTTGATGTTGTTGGATGTTTTCTTCTTGTGGAGTTCAATCAGTGCTTTGTATATCCTTGATATCAACCCCTTATCAGATGGGTATTGGGTGAACATCCTTTTTCATTCTGTTGTTTGTCTTTGTATAATGGTCATTTTATCTTTTGAGATGCAGAAGCTTCTTAATTTAAGATAGACCCATTTGTTTATCTGTGTTTCCACTTTGTTGGTAGGTGGAATGTTGTCTTTGAAGATACCGTTAGCCTCAATATTGTGGAGGGTTTTGCCGGCCTTGTGTTCAATGTAATTTATGGATTTTGGCCTGATGTTGAGATCTTTAATCCATTTTGATTTTACTTTTGTGTATGGTGTTAGGTCGAGCCCATTTTTTTTCATGTAGTTGTCCAGTTATGACCGTGCCATTTGTTGAAGAGGCTTTCCTTGCTCCACTTCACATTTCTTGCTCCCTTATCAAAGATTAGCTGTTCATACTTTTGGGGTTTTGTGTAGGGATAGTCCACCCTGTTCCATTGGTGTGCGGCTCTGCATTTGTTCCAGTACCATACTGTTTCTGTTGCTACCACTTTGCAGTAGAGTTTGAGGTTGGAGAGGGTATTGCTTACCCCAAGAATTGATTTAGCTATTTGTGAGCATTTGTTGTTCCAAATGAATTTTAGGAGTGCCTGATCCATTTCTTTGAAGAATTTCATAGAGATCGCATTGAATCTGTACAGTGCCTTGGGGAATATTGCCATTTTTACAATGTTAATTCTTCCTATCCATAAGCATGGGATATGTTTCCATTTCCTCATGTCCTCTTTTATTTTGTGCAATAGGGTCTTTTTTAGCTGTCATCCTCCTGACTCCTTGGATCTGGATGTCTGCATTTGTTAAGTCTGGGAACTTTTCAGTAATGATTTCTTTCACTGTGGCTTTTTCATTGGGGTTGCCTCCCTGCCCTTCGGCTACTCTGATGATTCTAATGTTGTTCTTCTTGGAGTCATCCCCTAGTTCTCTGATTCGCCTTAGAGCTATTTTGAAGTCTTTTCCCATTGTTTGTTGTTTCCTATAAGATGTCTGTTGCTCATTTTCAAGATCACTAATTCTGTCTTCAGCTGTAGTCATTCTACTGTTGTGGGCACCCACTGAGTTTTTAAGTACATCTACTGAATCCTTTTACTTTTACCTTTTTACTTTTTACTTTTTAACTTTTACTTTTTACTTCTCTTTGTAGCTTTCTTATTTCTGCTCTCATTTCTTCCTGTATTTTCTCGGACATCCCTTCCACTGTTTCTTTCATTTCTTCCTTTAATATTCTGGATGTCTGCTCCATTGATTCTTAGAGTTCCTTGAATATTCTCAGAATTTCATCTCAGAATTCTTTATCAGAGAGATCGTATTTAACCCCTGTTGAGGGTTCAGGACTCTTTTCCTCGTCTTCTCCTCATAGTGGAGATTTGCGCTTTTTCCTCATGCTGTTGTGGTTGTATAGAGGTAAAACCTTCAAGTTCACTAGCACTGTCCCTCTTATTGTGGGAAAGGATTCTGAATAAGGTCGGTTGATGTTGGTCACCCTTTTCCACTTCTAGAATATGTCTTTCCTCTCAGACATTATTCTGTGGCTTATGATAGGCATCTAGTGAAGCATTGGGGTAGGTGCTCTTTTATATTGGGCTTGTACAGCTTCTTGTGTTGGTCTTTTGTTGGAATTGAAGTAGGCCAGTGGATTATTGTCATATTGTGTTTGAGGTGGCCAGAATTTTTTCACTGAATTAGGTGATAAAAGTTGGGATGTGATTCAATATTTATTTTTATATATTAAAATTCCTTCAATAATATAAATAACTGCATTTTTGTGGTGACTAAAATTTTTTAAAATAATATTGGTATTTTATAAGATGTAAAGGGACATATGAGATCATTGCAGTGTTTATTTTATAATCCTTATTCAACAAGTACTAATTTCTCTTACAGTTAAAATGAAGATAAGCTTCAGTCACTGTGAAATATTTTAAGGAGATACGTAGTTCTGCAAAGTAGTCAGAAGATGTCAGTGTTGGTTTACTGCAAGTAAATGGAAAGATACCAAATTTTTCCTACAATGTGAAAATAAGTTATAAAATTGAGATGACTCTTGAGTCAGAAGTATAATTCATAATTTTCATTATTTTCATGATTAAAGGATTTCTTATTTTTAATAATGTAAGAATACTGCTATTTTTTCAGCCATTGATTAAGCTGATTGAATTGGGAATGAACTCCACATTGCTTTTTTTTTAATTGTATCACTGTGAGATAGAGTTACAAAGCTTTCATGTTTGATATTCAGCCATACAATGATGAAACACCCATCCCTCCACCAGTGCACATTTTCCACCACTCACAGCCCACTCCTCATCCTGCCTCTATGGCAGACAGTTTCCCAATACTCTTTCTAATTTTGGGCATTATGTTTTGCTCAAAATTTCCCACCACCATTCAAGCCTACCTGCCGTGGGCAGATACTAGATAATTTATTTTCCATTGTTCATTTTGAGTATCATGAGAGCTCACACAGCCGCGATTGTAAATGTAAATTTCTAGATTGTAAATGGTTGGGTTCCAGAAACATCTCTGTATGGCGCTAATCAATTTTGGGATTCAACTGGTAGTCTCTGGGCCAGGGCTGTTGTTGTTCTAAGATGGCACATGGAGGCAAATTGTAGGTGTGGCAGCCTGTCTACTGGGTGAGCGGGGGAACCTGTGGTGGGACAGCTTGGATGCTCTGCCACCATGCAGCCTGGAGATTCAGCCCTGGAACCCGCATACCTGGGCCTTGCTTGTTGAAGCTGTTGGTCACCCAGATTCCATCTGGAGTAGGTGGGGAGACTGCACCTGCTCCATCTGGGGTGCCCCAGTGAAATTGGCTCTGTATGGAACCTGGAGAGATCTCCAGCACTGTGGTGTGTTCCGCGACTTGCTGCTGTGTCTCTGGGTCAGGTCTGTTGGTGCACTAAGATCCACATTACACAATTTTCAGCAGATTATATCTCGGTGAGGTCCATTCTGAGACAATGGAGTCATGGTGGGGTTATGGCGGTGATTTTGGATTGTGAAAGCAAATGGCTTCTGGGGGTTCTACTTGGGCGGACAGAGGTCAACCCGCCCCCCCTCAAATTTACCTCAGTCTGTTTATCCATTCCTGGTTCATAGAAAAGCACAGGTCTGAGCTTTTCTGTGGCTTTTGATCTCTTTTGAGATTTATTTAGGGGTCTCTGAAGCAAGGCTGGCAGTAGAGCCTCAGTGTGGCAGAGTACTTGGTTCATAGAAGCCTGAAGGCACCATCAGGTTGCTGATGCACTGCCAGTGCTTCCATTTGTATTGGGAAGTGATGGGACGTAGCTCACCCCAACTCTGAGAAAGCTTGGAGATTTCAGTCACAAAACCTGCATACCAGAATTTTCAGCAATTATATTTTGGTGAAGTCTGTCCTGAGACAGTGGAGTCAGGCCGGGGATATGGCGGCAATTTTGGATTGTGGAAGCAAGTGGCTGCTGGGGCTCTGCTTGGGCAGGCCACCAGGCCCACCTGCCCCACTCTGATTTACATCAGTCTGTTCAGCCTTGTGTCGTCTGAGAGTAACTGTGGCTTTGGATCTCTTTCAAGATATATCTATGGGTTTCTGAAATAAGGCCAATAAATGAGCTTGTATAGCTGAGCTGGAGGTGGTTTGTGGGTGTGGCTCCCACATATCTAACCTTTGGCCATTTAATTTCTTGGTAAACCTGATCCCAAGTTGTTGGTTTGGCCATAGGCACAGTGGCAATTTTGAGGTGTCAGAAGCCTGAAGGCACCATCAGGTTGCTGATGCACTTGCCCCGCAGATACAATTTGACCTGCTGGATGCACTATACCACAATTAAAGGATTTCTATGAAATGTTTTTATTTTATATAAATTATGTATTTTAAATTACATGTATTTTATATGTAGAAAATATACATATATACTTCAATAAAATGTCTGGGTATTTTTTGTTTTGTTTTTGTTTTTTGGGTCACACCTGGCGATGCTCAGGGGTGCACTCAGGAATTACTCCTGGTGGTGCTCAGGGGACCATATGGGATGCTGGGAATCAAACCCGGGTGAGCTGCATGCAAGGCAAACGCCCTACCCGCTATGCTATCACTCCAGCCCTGAAATGTCTGTGTTTCAAAAGTTTACTGTCCTGATGATCAAAAGGGTTATTCTTAGAATATAGTATTGAGTGTAGATTTATGCTAGTTTATTAATCATTGAAATTTGGTACTCTAGAGCTTTATGTAAAATTTTTATACTGTGAGGTCACACACAGCGTGCGTTGTGTGATTCAGCTCTCCGTTATTGCTTTAGTTACCAAGACTAATTGTTACCAGCATATTATGTATGTAACCCCTTGAAACATTGAGTAAGCAGAAAAAATGATCAGATAATATAAGAAAATAAATCACTAAGGGAGAAGTCTGTGAACTCATTTAGACTGCCAGACCACAATTGCAACCATTATTAAAATTTAGAATTCTTGTGGCCAAAATAATACCTGTGTTTATCAAAGTAATTTTCAAGAAACGATTTAATGTATTTCAAAAACTTTAGAAGAATATGTTAATGACATTTAAATAACATGTACAAAAGTATGACAATTTAGCCATTTGAAAAATGTGTATATAAATTAATAGGTTTGATATAAGAATGTTATTCTTATAATGTAATTCTCAATGGCTTTGATTTCTAAATAAAATAGTTAAATCACTTGGAATAATTATATCAAGTTAGATTTAAGCAATATTTAGTATATTAAATGTTTATATTTGTCTTCAACTGTGCCCCATTGCTATTGTGATAAGATTCTTAAAGTTTATACCAGATTTTATTTAATGCAATATTTAATTGAAAGGGTAATTCCAGGGAAATATTTTGTATATTTTCTATTATCTTGGTTTATATCATATAGAAATAAGGAACCAAACTGAGCTCATGAAGTTAACTAATTTCTTCAAAGTTTGTTCACAAGTTAGTGTCTGTGCTGCTGTAAAATTAATAGAATCTTTAGAGATTAAGTCATTTCCCCCCTCTGGTTTGTATATAGACTTTTATGTTAGTAGTTGAATTTAGCTATGATAAAAGATAACTAATTGATACTAATATTAATTGGGAACAACTGAGCCAAATTAGTAAATAGGTGAACTTACAAAATATTTTCTTATTAAAATATATATTAGGTTTTGGGTTTTAGGATATTTAAATGTGCATAGACATTCAAACTGTGTGATACTTTAATGAGATCTGTACTTAATTTTATTAGTTTTATTAGCTGCCATAGCTTACTATTCTCTCTTGCTACTCTGAACTAATCTTTATTTTCTCCATAGACTGGGATATAATTTTTTTAAATCTTGTTTTGCCTTCCTTCTTTATGAATTCCCATTAATCTTTTCATTGTGGCAGATTCCTACTACTCATTCAAACTTTAGAGATGAGAGTATAGCATAGTTAAAGAGTTAAGAAAGTATAGTTAAAAAGAGCTTAGGCTTCTGGAATCACTGTATGACTTCGACCAAATCTTGCTGATCTTAATTTTTCAAACTTTAAGAAATGATTAAATACATAAATCATTAAAGATTTCTTAAAGTTTTTTAAATATTGAAATATTTTATGATGTGACCTGCTTATAATAACCCTTGCAAATGTTCTTTTTTTTTTGTTTTCTGGGTTTCATTGGGTTATTTTGTTTGTTTTGGTACTAGTCATCTTTCATTGGGTGTTTATTTTCAATTAAAGATATTAAAGGATGCAACGATAGAGGTCAAAGAGGGTTTTAACCAGAGGTACAGACTATGCCCTACATGCTGGATCCTCTTTAGTGATATTTATGTAGCTGCTTATGTTTGAATTCCTTGTAAGAAAGCTTCAAGTTTATGTAAGCAGTCAACACCACAGAAACTTCAGTAATGTGCTCTTTCTTCACATTGGTGTACTTTAGTACTGGCAGTAATCTCTTTTAAATATTCTGTCAGTGTCATCAGGGTGAAATCTTTAATCACTATCCAGCTTTGTAGCTCCTATATTTTTTTCCTTTTTCGGTCACACCCAACAACACTCAGGGGTTCCTTCTGGCTCTGCACTCGGGAATTACTCCTGTCAGTACTGAGGGTGGGCAGGGTGTGGGGATTGGGGAGACCATATGCGATGCTGGGGATTGAACCCATGTCAGCCATATGTAAGGAAACATCCTACCCGCTGTACTATTGCTCCGGTCCCAGTTCCTGTATTTTGACAGCCATGACTTTTGTTTCTCTTCAGTAATATGCTTGGTATCATCTTGGAGTTCTGGTGTCTGCCATCTGAATGTCATTTCTTTGTGAAGTAGAATAGAATCAAGAATAAGTGACATTGGGGCTGGAGCAATAGCACAGCAGGTAGGGCATTTACCTTGCATGCGGCCAACCCAGGTTTGATTCCCAGCATCCCATATGGTCCCCTGAGCACTGCCATGGGTAATTCCTGAGGGCAGAGCCAGGAGTAAACCCTGTGCATTGCCGGGTGTGACCCCCCTAAAAAAAGAATAAGTGACATCAGTGAGCATTATGCCTAGAGATGGAAATAGATTTATTGGCATAACTTCCTATCATGAATGATTGAGGCATTTTTAAAAGCATATTGAGGTTTTATCTGTGATTAGCCATAAAGAGCACCCAGTTAGATAAATAATCATAGGAGATACTGGAAAAATTTCTGATTTTGTATTTGTAATCCTTAATATGCTTAAATCCCAATTTTTGGCTTACCTGTTAGGTATTTTTCCCAAGAGTTTTGAAATATAAAGTTTAAAAGTAAAGGGATTCATAATAGGGCCTTGAATGCCAAAGATATATGAACACAACATGAAAGTTAGATTTTTTGAAAGAAGTATCATGGATTGTAAGCATTACTTTGAAAAGGTTGGTTTGTTACTGGTTTGTAGGATTATATGTAGTGAGGAGGAATACATATTGAGGAGGAAAACATATTAAGAACTTGAGTCATTTTACTGTATTTCCTTCATTCTTAAAACAAGTACATTTTTTATGTACTAGCATTCTAAATCTAAAAATACTAGACATATTACTTCTTTTCCCCAGTACAAATGGAGATGATAGTTTTTACATCAGGGTTATTGGGAAATGTGCTAAATATATCAATTAGTGCCTGGCATGTCATAAGCATTAGTACTATTAGTGATCATCACTACTACTGTGGTTGTGTTGTAAATATGTATGTTTAGTGCAGTGTTCATTTTTTCCTGAAGTCGGTAGGTTTGTTAGCAGGAGAGGAGATTAGAAATTGGATCAATTTGGATCAATTAAGAAAAACATTTGATAGCAAACTTAAATGAATGGAATTTGGATTGACTTATACTAGTGATAGGTAATAAGTAGAATATACTATAATATACTTATTATATAATATGCACTTATACTAATAGAGAATTAGTATGTTCAAGGGAAAATAAAGTCTGTGCTTTAAATATTTTTCAGTATAAATCATCAAGGAAGAGTTCAAGTGGAAACGAAAATGATGAGGTGAGGAAAGAGGGTAACATTATTATTTAAAATACTTTCCATATATAGTTTTCACAGTCAAATGAAATTCATCTTTCAGTTTTTTATTGAATTAGTGAAAGGATGTTCTCCAATAATAAAAACTGAGCATCATCAGAATAATTTATTTAATCATTTGACTTTAATATCCTTTATTTAGAATAGAATTTCTAAGAATTTTAAAGTTTTGGTCACATCTTAAAACTGCAATTTGTGAATTTAGCAATTTCTCCCATTTTTATCTTAATAAATTAGCCTGGTGGTCTGTTGAGACTTTTTAAAGATAATTTTTTAACCAGTCCTGTGTAGTGTTTTTTTTTTAAAACGGGCTGGTCCCAGTAGTGCTAGAGTGCTAGGAACCATTCCTGGCAATACTTGGCCCATATGCGTAGCCCACATGGGTCAGTGCTTAGGACTGGCAGTGCGTAGAGCCACAAGGACAACTCATTGGTGTTTGGGGAACCATATAGTGCTAATTATTGAACTTATGGCCTTGCACATGCTCAGTATGTGTACTATAACTTGCACTGTCTCCCATTATAAACTTTTCTACCTCACCATTTTAAGCTGTGCAGCAGATTATCTTTTTCTAAATGTTAGCTGTCACCATATTCATTTAAGGTTAGTTTTATTTTGACTTTGGCACTATGGTTTAACACTTACGTTTCAAGAGTACAATGTCACCACTTCACACCTGCCACCAGAATCCCAGCATATCTCTACCACTGTCTCTCAGTCTTCCAGCCCTACTTACTTCTGTAGACTGAGACTTAGGATTCGCTGTCACTAGATGTTGTTCATTCTTTTACTGTGTTTTTTAATACTTCATAGAGAAGAAAGATCGCTCTGTATTTGTCCTCTGTTTGACTCACTTCACTCAGCATAACACTCTTCAGTTCCATCCAAGCTACAGCAAACTGCAAGATTTTATCTCATAACTATACTATATCCCAAGATTTCTGTGTCCATTTATCTGTTGTTAGATACTTGATTTGTTTCTATACCTTAGGTATTTATTGTGACTAGCACTGTGAACATAGGAGTGCAAATAGTTATATGAATTCATTTTTTGTGTGGTTGAGGTGGATTCCAAGAAGTGAAATTGCTGAGTCATGAAAACTCTGTTCTTAATATTTTGAGAAGTCTTCAAAATCTTTTATATATGGGCTGAACCAGATGACTGTCACACCATATCCCTACAAGCAGGGTTACTTCTGGTCTTTTTTATTTATGCTATTCTCTCTAGCATGAGGTGACATCACATTGTCATTTTGATTTGAATTTCCTTGATGATAAATGCTGAACGATTTTTAATATGCCTGTTGGCCGTCTGTGATCTTTGGTAACCTAGCTGGGTTGTGTGTTCTTATTTGATTACCCTGCATTGTTTATTTGGCCCCTATCTTTCATCTTGGAATTTTTTTTTTGGTGGGGTAAACATATATTTGTTCTTTTTTTCTTTTTTGGGAAATTTGTCTTTCTCTATCATCCCTGCCATCTCCCCATATAGCCCTTATTTGCACATTATAAATGTATCTTCTTTACATCACTGGAGTGAGAGTTTCTTGAGTGACTATTTTGCTAAATTTCAATATTCCTAGAGTCTGGTATAATGTAATCAGTGTCACTAGAGTTGATTATAGTTTATGGAATCATGAGGAGATGTGCTTTGTGGTGTGTACATTCATGTATAATGGAATTTCTTGTATTTTTGGCTTTTACTATTAGAAAATTGGAACCAGCTGATATTTCACACAGTTAAGTTTTATAATCCCACCACCAGTGTTAACTCTCCCCACCAGTGTTAATTTATTACCTACCCACCTCAGCCCCTTTCCCATCTGCCGCCTGTCAACTTGACAGACACATTACAGAGTTTCAGTGGTTGCAGCTTAGATCTCATGTTTTCAGTTTTGTTGAGTCTGTGTTTTGGATATATGGCTCTACCACTCACCCATATCACCAGTATAACTTAAGCCCATACCCCTGTTCACACCGTACCTTGCATTCTCTCCTTCCGCCCTTAATTCCTTTACTTTTCTGTCCTTCTTTCTAAATACTTGGGTCAAGGGTGATCCAGGCAGCCCCTTTACTACAATACATTATATCATCCAGTATTATATACACCACTGTAAACATATGGATATTTTGTAAGAAATACAAAGTGTTCCATCTATGTCCATCTATGATATATCAAAGAAGATACATGCATAGGAAAATAATTTATCTTTGACCTAAAACTTAAAGTGCTTCTAATGTCCCAGCTGATTTTATTGAAATATATACATTCCGGAGTCTGTAGATATAGCTCAACTGGATGGAATGCATGATTTTTATACAGAAGCCTTAGATACAATCCCCAGCATCACATGATCCCCAACCATCACTGAGTTTGACCCTGTGCACAAACCTGAGATTAGTACCAGAGCACCGCCAGGTATTGTCCTTCTTAAGCACACACTGTGTGTGTGTGTGTGTGTGTGTGTGTATTCTCATTCAGAAAATCTTGGGTGGGACCTGTAGTCCTCATTTGTAATGAGGTCCCAGAAGATGCTAAATCTGCTAGATTGCAAGCCATAATTTGAATGGCAAAGCTGTAGATGTTTCTCATTGCAGTTTATCAAAAACAACTTTCAATTTTACTTTTTTATGTCAGAATCACATTCATATTTTAATTTTACTTTTACCTTCTTATTTTTATATTTTAGCAAGGCAGTCATAATGCTAGTATGTCACCACAATCTCCAGTATCATCTGAGGTACAAGTTGTGTTTTTATGTGTTTACATAGATTTCTTCCTTTGTTCTTCTCTTTATACTCATCTTTTATGTCTAGCAGTGTAATTTATTCATCCATGTTTTGAAATCCCTATTAGGCTTATTTGCATTTTCTATCCTATAAAATGGTTTCAACACCATATCTATATAAATATTTATAATAAACACATGTTTTGTTGGAAAATGTCTATAAGTCACAAAAATTTGATTTATAAAGTGTTTTGTTTCATAATTCATTAATGTTTTTATATACTTTATAGTTAAATAGATATTTCAGCATTGTGCAGTGACCTGTGGTTTTTTCTGTAACCATTTAGGTCTAAAAGCAATGCAACAGAAACTTCCTTTTTCCACGAGAAACATCCCTGCAGTGGGTTGTTCTTATCGACAAGAGGGTACACATTTTCTGTCATCTTAGAATCAATTGAGAAGGGGTGGATGAAAATTAGAATTTGTGAGATCTCAAGCAGATAGTCTGATGATTTGAATGTGAGAGTCTTATAATTTAGTTAAACTTATTGCTTTACAACAAGAGATACATTAAAAATTTTAAACAGTATTATTTCTACTTCAAGTTTTCTACTTAGGTCCAGAAAGGTAGTGCAGTAGAGAAGGCTCTTGCTTTGCACGTAGCCGACCTAGCTTCTATCTCTGACATCCCATATGGTCCCTAACCCCTCCAGGAGTGATTCCTAAGGACTAAGCCATTAGTAACTTACCTCTGAGCAATACTGGGTGTGCCCTAACCCCCTTCCCTCAAATGTCTTATTTACTATCCTGAAGGTGTATTTGTATTGGCAAATAAGTGATTATACATTCATTTGGTGAATTTTGGACTTACATGTTTATATGGTACAGATTTACAACATAAATTTGGTTGATTAGTAGTATTTCCTTATATATAGTTGGTGTTCAGCTTTTTAAAAATTTTTGTCTATTGTCTTGGATGAGTTTCATTTTAAAAGTTTTAAATGGGCCTGGAAATTAGTTTTCTAAATGTGCTTTAAAATTATTTATATTTCAAGTAAATGTTATATAGTTTTAAGAAAATAATTTAAATTGCTACACTGAAAAGAAATAGTCTTCTATCACATGATTTTAAAAATCCTTTCTTTTGCATTTAATTTTAACAAGCAGATATGTGATTACTTTCTTAACTACTTTGTGATTTAGTATATATGCTCAGCGGCTTGAGCGATAGCACAGCGGTAGGGCGTTTGCCTTGCATGCAGCCAACATGGCTGACCTGAGTTCGATTCTTTCGCCCCTCTCGGAGAGCCCGGCAAGCTACCAAGAGTATCTTGCCCGCACGGCAGAGCCTGGCAAGATACCCGTGACATATTCGATATGCCAAACACAGTAACAACAAAGTCTCCAATGGAGATGTTACTGTGCCCACTCGAGCAAATCGATGAACAACGGGAGGACAGTGACAGATGTGACAGTGATCTATGCTCACAGAAGAGTATTGGTACCAGTTTTTATATATAACACACTGTTTGAATATGGATAAGTGAATTCTTTGTCTTAGAAGCATAGCATTTTAACTAAAAATGGTGACAAACTTAACATTTATAGAGGATAATTACATTTTGCTAGTTCAATACATGTTCAAGTTGAACTACTTATCACGTATAAATGAACAGAAGGTTCAAGTATATATAATTGTTCTGATTGCTTCTGTTTTACTCTCAGAGGGAAATGGTTGAAATAATTGAATTGCTTCCTATTTTAAAGTAATCACCTGTACATTTGAACCTGAATAGTCCTGTGACCTGTGTATTATTCTCATTTGATACTGAAGACGTAGATGACTTTCCAAAAGACCCCAGTCCATAAATAATAGTAAGGTAAGGTAAGGTAAAGGCCCTCCCGTTGATCGTCGATTTGCTCGAGCGGGCCCGGTAACGTCTCCATTGGAGACTTTGTTGTTACTGTGTTTGGCATATCGAATACTCTCGGTAGCTTGCCGGGCTCTCCGAGAGGGGCAGAGGAATCGAACTCAGGTCGGCCATGTTGGCCGCTTGTAAGGCGAACGCCCTACCCGCTGTGCTATAATAATAGTAAAATTAGTAAAGCCCAGACTCTAGAGAATAAAGCCCAGACGCTAGTTACTGTACATATTAAATAACATGTTTCTAAAATTGCAATACTGTACCACTGAACAACATACAAAATACTTCCTTGTAGATTATTTGAATTAATCTTCACATCTCTATTTTAAAGAATTAGTAACCAGAGAGGTATTAAGTACTTTGTATAAGACTTAGTCTAAACTTGATGACTCCAAATTAAATTTTTTACTATACCTCATTTCTTTGCCATTACTATTTGAAAGCACTTTTAAACATTTTACATTCAAGTAAAAGAGTAAATTTTCTAATAGTCTGTTGCCCTTATTCATATAAGTGTATAAAGTTGGCTCAGAGTTTGCGCTAGTGTCAAGTTTATAGTAGAAATGAGTAGATTTTGCTAATTTTGTTTACCTTTTTATTAAAGCTTACTTTATTTGTGGGGATACTTTAAATCTGGTTTATCTTTCAAAATATTACCAATTTTTACATTAATTTTCTTTTTTGTACTATGAAAAATACCTAAAGACTTAAGTCTGTTGGTACTTACTTATAGATCTTGATTTATTAGTTTTAATTGAAATGCAGCTTACCTTTCTCTAGTCTATTATTTCTGGAGAGAAAGAAATGCTTCTGAAAATTGGAATGTATGTGAGTATGGTCTTTTGTATTTTGGAAAAAAAGATTTTTTTTGTTTTCTGTTTATAGGAGTATGATAGAATGGATGTTTTTTCACATGGCCCTTTTGGATTGAAGCCTAGATCAGGTAAATATATATTCTACAAATAAATAAGACATATTGACTATATAAGACACTAGAGTTTCCCAACTTAACTGGATTTATTCCATAGTTTTAAGTACACATAGATTCTTTCCCCTCTCATAAAAGTAATTTTCTCTTAACCTTATTTGTCTTTCCAATTCCCATTCCCCATTTCTTTCTTCCTCTTTACCTTCAAGCTCCTGAAACCTCAGCTTTTTGCCTTAGATATACTGCAGTCTTATTTCTACTCTTCTGTGACTGCTATTAGAATGACCACTCTGCCAGCAGAACCAAACACTGTTTGAAATTATAGCACACCATTATATTGTGGTTTTATAAAGGGATCTTTTCGCATTTGGCAAGCCCAAAAGAAAATGGATCCATGTTACTTGGCAAGGTATTGAATTATAGTTTTTATTCCTGAATAACTGTATAGACCTTCAAGTATAATTTTGTTTACTTTAAAGTCTTATTTATATTCAAAAATAAATTTAAATCTGAAACATAAATTTCTAATTGCATGTGTTTAAAATAAAAACATGCATAGGTGGCACACTTGTTTTCCCTGTTGTTTTCAAATGCAGATAGGGAGATTTCAATTATATTATGTAAAAAAGTATTTAGAATTTTTTAATAAGTAATACTGTTGTACCTAGTATTATCCGATTCCTTTTATCTTTTTGCCTTTTTCCCACTGATGGTTGATCCTTCCTTTTAGCTTTCTAATAAGCTAGAAAATTTCTGTTTTTATAGCATTTAGCCGTTCATCTCGCCAGGAATATGGGGCAGCAGATCCTGGATTTACAATGAGAAGAAAGATGGAACATTTACGTGAAGAACGAGAGCAAATACGACAACTTCGTAATGTTAGTCAGATTGACATTCCATATATTCTTTGTAGAAATGGGTCTAATTTGAAAAATTGACAAGGTGCATGGGTTTTATTTCCCATCTTCTTTAAAATATGGGATGATATAGCAGTTAGTAAAATAATTTATAACATTTAGAATATCTAAATAATTATACATGTATATTTCTTTATAGAATCTGGAAACCAGGTTAAAAGTAATTTTACCTGATGACATTGGAGCTGCACTGATGGATGGGGTTGTTCTTTGCCATTTAGCCAATCATATAAGGCCACGTTCTGTAGCTAGTATTCATGTACCATCACCAGCAGTGGTAAGTTTTGTCTAAATAGAGAATCTGTTCATTCTCTATTTTAAATTCTTTTGGCTTTTGCAACACACTCAGTGGTGCATGATCAAGATTTGCAGTACACCCAGTGACGCATGATCAGGACCTCAGGCTTCCTGCATGCAAAACATGTGCTCAGCACAGCACACACTCCAGTGCATTTAGCAATCTATTTGAGCTCTAATTTGTTTGTTCTTCAAAAACAGAGAGCTTCTGGAAACTACATTTAAATAATATTCCAAAATAGCTTTAGTTTTAATTTTAATTTTATTTTATTATTTATTTTTGGGGGTCATACCCAGTGATGCTCAGGGGTTACTACTGGCTCTGTACTCAGGAATTACTCCTGGTGGTGTTGGGGAACATATGGATGCCAGGAAGTGCAAAGCAAACACTCTACCTGCTGTACTATCGCTCTGGTCCCTTTAGTTTTCAATTTGATTAATTTCTGTCTACATATTTCTGAAAATGTATCTTTCCCTTACTTTACAGCCTAAATTGAGCATGGCAAAATGTCGAAGAAATGTGGAAAATTTTCTTGATGCTTGTAAAAAGTTGGGTGTGTCACAGGTAATTTTAATTTCTAACAAGGTGATTATTGACATTAATTTATTACAGGCATGCTGGTATTCTTTATAACAGAAATGTATAATGCTTTCTGTACATGAATACTTTCCTCTGGAACCTATACTGAGTTCCGGTTTTAGCTGTCATAGCCATTTAATGGAATTGAGTTGTTATTTGATTTGGGGTATCACAGTTAAGAATTTTCTCAGGGACTGTTCCTGGCTAAGAACTTTGGGTTTACTCCTGGCTGTGTTTGGGGAACCATGCTGTATGGACTATGAACCTGAGCCTCCTGTATGCTTTGCATGTGCTAAGCCTGTTGAGCTATCTCCCTAGCCCTTTAATGGATATTTTAAAGCTATGTTAAAAGTCATTTATGAAACAGCTACATTTATAGGAAAATGTACATACCACACACATTGTTATATAAGTATAACTTAGTGCCTTTCTCACAACTTGATTGTGATGCCATTACTATTCTTATTTTTCTTGTTGAAGGGTTATTTGAACTCTTCTGTTAAGCCATAGATAGATTGTTAGATTTGTATTCGTTGTGAACAATGTTTGTTTTAAACATAATTTAAAATGTCAGATTGTAAAGTATCTTACTCCATAAAAACTTTGTTCAGAATTGGATTTTGTTTTATATAATAATTGCCCTAGTTAATGAAATTAGCTATTAAAATAATACTGAGCATATAATGAAAGTAAGTAATCATAATACTGTAAAAATAATATATTAATTTATATGGCTAACAGTTGAGAGAAAAACCTGGTTAGCTTATCACAGTCTAGATGCACTTTTTCCATTTTTTAATTAAAATGGTTTTATGTTTGTATTTGAGGTATAATTGACATTTAACAGTGTGTAAGTTTGCAGTGAATTGGTTTAATTCATTTATGTACTGAGTTGTGCTTCTTACACTCTCTTTTTCATTGGTGTCACAATAATATGGTCTACAGACTCCACTTAAACCTATTTCCTCAAGTGAGTAAATATAGTTTATATAGAGAATTAGTTACTGTATAATTAGAAAGCTCCATACTATTCCTGTTCTCTCTATGCTTTAAATGATGTCTAAAAATGTTTTATGTTCTTTATTTTTATCTTAACCTCTTAATGAGAAAGAAAAAATAACGGTTATTTTTATGGTTATTATTGCATTTTATAAAATTTCCCAGTTTTCTCCCAAATTTTATTTCATTAAATTACCGTGAATTACAAAGTTATTCATAGTTGGGTTTTTGATATACAATGTTCAATCACCTCAACATTTCTCCACCAGTGTTGCCAGGTTCCCTCTCCTACTCCACCAACTGAAGCCCCAGCCTGCCATCTTAACAGACACCTTTTAAGTATGGTTATTAAAGTATGGATCTCACAATTTCAGTATTGTTAACTCTGGTTTGGATATTTAGCTCTACCATTCCTTAACATCAGTGTATCTGATTCCCCTTGACTACTGCCCCCATTGCTTTTCATCTATCTCTTCTCTCCACCCCCAACTCCCCTACCTTTCACTTTATTTCTTTCCTTCTTGTCCTTATATTCTGGGCCCAAGGTAATCTTGGCATCCCACTTTTAAACTATTGCATTTCCTTATCAGTTATTCTAAATACCATATATAAGAGATATCTTGTGTTTGTCCTTCTGGCTTACTTCATTTAACATTATGTCTTCCAGTTCCATTTATGTTGCAGCAAATTGCATGATTTCATTTTTCCTGACAGCTATGTAGTATTCCATTGTGTATATCTACCACATTTTCATGATCCACTGGTTTATTGTTGGACATCTAGATGATTTGAAATCTTAGCTGTTGCACTGAGTGCTGCAGTGAATAATGGTATATGCATGGTTGCCCAGTTTTTATTTCAGTGATTTTTGAGGGATGTATTCTCAGTACTTAATGAATGGATGCATATTTTACATATGAGATAACTGAGAAACAAGGAGGTTGGGTGACTTTGCAGGGTCACACCATTAATAAATCCTGGACCAAATCTGTTAATCCGGATAATATAAATAAGAACCCACCTCAACTTTGGATGCTTTCTATTTCTATTCTTTTACATGAAAGAAAAGTCAGTACAACATAGTCTAGGTTTCTTAATATTCTGGGAGGATAAGTGAGAGTTTTATGAAAAATACTATTACTCTACTCTTCATTACAGCTTGCTTTTGGAGCTGGGTAGTGCTCCACCAATTTTCACTGTAACAGAAGGACTCTGGAGACACTAGTCATCAATATATTTCATGATAGATTGAATTATACTAATTTATTTTCAGATGGTAGCCACAGATTCTGAGATAAGTCCTATTTTGTCATGATGGGTTTTATTGATATTGTTCTTATTTTTTGTAGTTTATTTCAATTAAATTTTATTTCTACTATTTTGCTTATATGTTCAGGTAAATATTAGCCTTTAGTTTACTGTTAGTAACTGACTTTAGAGTACTTTCTCTGCTTTTATCTTTCTTGAAAATTTATTTCATATAAAATTTCTGTTGTTTCTTTTTTATTTTTTTAATTTTTTTTGCTTTTTGTGTCACACCCAGCCTTGCTCAGGTGTTATTCCTGGCTCTACACTCAGGAATTACTCCTGGCAGTCCTTGGGGGACCATATGTGATGCCAGGGATCGAACCCATGTCAGCCGCGTGCAAGGCAAATGCCCTATCCGCTATGCTTTAGCTCCGGCCCCTGTTGTTTCTTTTTTAAATAGTCAAATTCATTAATGAATTAATCTAGGAAATAGTTTTCAATGTTAGAAGGTTTTCATGGTTTAAGCTCTAATTTTAATTCTTTAGATAGATATAGACTGGTCTGATTTTCACTCGTATTGCATGAACTTTGTAATCTTTCAAAGAATTTGTCCTACAGTTAGTCATATTTTGTCTGTTTCTGGTGGAGTTTGGGATATTTCAAACAGTGTTAGGGGACACTGTAGACTGCTCAAGTGACTGTCTGTATTGTCAAACAATGAACCAGACCTTAACCCCTGTACTATAACTCTAGCACAAGGTGGTGTTCTTAAACTTTTATACAAGGTAATATACAACATGGAATGCTTGTTACAACAGAATCTGCGAGTACTGCTTGAACCCTCAGAGTTTCTGATTAATTATGTCTGGGATGGCAGTTGAAGATCTGCTCTGCAAAAAAGTCCCAAATGATACTGATACTGTTGGTCTGGGGACCATATATAATCACTGCTTGATTAATTTCATTTCATTAAACTTTGTTGAAATTACTATTGTAAACTTTAAAATACCTCCTTTTGGAAATCATTTTAGTATTTCTAGAATCTCCTATGTGTGATATGGTTACTTGTGAGTTTTCCTTTTTATTTGGTTCATTTATCCAGAGGCTTTTGAACTTTTAAGACTGTTAGGCAGCAAAATCAAAATACAAAAATGGGACTACATAAAAGTAAAGAGTTTCTGCATGGCAAAAGGAACATGGTCTAAAACTAAAAGGTAGTTAACTGAATGGGAAATATATTTGCAATCAGCACATCAGATAAAGGGCTGAATCCAGAATATATAAAGTACTCACAAAAATTTTGACATAAAATTTCAAGAACCCTCTAAAAAATTGGGAGAGGAAATGAACAGACACTTCTAAGAGGAATACAGACAGATGTCATATAGGCCTGAAAAGATGCTCAGTATCATCTATCATTAGGTGAATCCAAATCAAGATAACAGTGACATTATCATTTCACACAAGTCAAAATATCAAAAATAGTAGGAATAATCTGTGCTAGGGCTGGAGCGATAACACAGTGGGTAGGGTATTTGCCTTGCACGTAACCAACCAGGCCAACCCAGGTTCGATTCCTCCGCCCCCTCTGAGAGCCCGGCAAGCTACCTAAAGTATCTCGTCCACATGGCAAAGCCTGGCAAGCTACCCATGACATATTCGATATGCTAAACACAGTAACTAGTGTCACGATGGAAACGTTACTGGGCCCACTCAAGCAAAATCAGTGAAAAACGGGAGGACAGTGACAGTGACAGTGAACATGGCTATTCTGTGCTGGCGAGGATGTGGTAAAAAAGCAACTCTCATTCACTACTGGTGGGAATGTTGTCTGGTTCAATCCCTTTGGAAAGCAATATGAAGAATCCTCAGTAAACTTAGAATTGAGCTGACTCTGACCCAGCAATTCCACTTTGGGCATCTACCCCAATTACAGAAAAACATTCTTTTGGAAGGACATATACACATCATTATTTATTGCTGCATTTAGTACAATAGCTAAGATATGGAATCAACTTAGTTGATCAGTAGATATATGGATTATGAATAGCACTTTACCACTGTCCTCCTGTTGTTCATCGATTTGCTTTGAGAGTGCACCATTAACATTTCCATTGTGAGACTTGTTGTTGCTATTTTTGGCATATTGAATACACCACAGGGAGCTTGCTAGTCTCTGCCGTGCAGGCGGTTTACTCTTGGTAGCTTGCCGGGCTCTCTAAGAGGGACAGAGGAATCGAACCTGGGTTGGCCGCGTGCAAGGCAAATGCCTTATCTGCTGTGCTATCCCTCCAGCCCCATGGATTATTAATATGTGATATATATACACAGTGGAATATTATGAAGCTGCAAGGAACATTGAAACCTTGCAATTTGCTGCAACAAGATTGGAACTGGAAGATACCATGTTTAATAAAGTAAGTCAGAAGAAAGACAAACATGGGATGATTTCACTTATCTAAAGTATCTAGACGAGGAAATATAATGTAGTAATGTGGGGGATACCTAGATCACCCTTGATGCCAGAGTTGAGGGAGGAGAACGTAAAAAGAAAGAATGGGGGGAAGAAACAAGGTGATAAAGGGAGGTAATGGAGGAACAGTGGTCAGGGCTTTGGTTATACTGGTGATGTAAGAGAGTAGTAAAGCACACATTTAACAACACTGAAATGATGAGATTTAAGCTACAGTCATCTAATTTTGTGATGTGCCTTTCAAGGTAACAGGTGGGGTGGGTGT